GTTCATATTTACATCCACTAAATATACAAATAACCACATTTTGTTTCAATGAATGAGAGGAAATAATTGGAAATATCTTCGGTTTTGTTTTGTTATCACATCAATTATTCAGGAATGATCGTTCCTTCACATTTAGGATGATCACATGCAGGTTTCCTTAATAAGCTCCCAGAAATTTACATGTTGGCACTGAAGAGGAGTCAAAACAGTTAATATCTAAATAGAAGAAATAGTAACCTCAAGATAAATCGGTGCCCTGCTGCAGTTTTTAGCATTATGTCTTGTACGTCTCAACATGTAACCACTATGGGTACGTTTGATTATGCGCACATATAATCAAGCAATTTCCCACCCCCACCCCCAGCTAGATTACAAGCAGATTCTACTTGACATGGTCATACGGTCTATATGTGCAGTGACTGACATAAGACATTTCCCATGGGGAAAAAGGGCAGAAAGAAGATCAGACTTCTCCGTATAGAGAAGCACTTTCAAATGATAAAGTTGTTAACCATGAAAACAAGGACAAAGCATCCTAAGGCCATATAAGCACAAGACACAGCTCATAGAAGTCTCAACACAAGAATCCTCACTGCAATCTTTGCTGACTTCTGCAGTGCCACTGCTGCTATTTTGCCCTATTTTAAATGTAATAAACCAGGCCTGAGTAACTGAAGAACACTGAGTTGGATTAGTTTGGTGTTACACTTCCCTCGTAATACTTTCTCTAAACTATTAACTAAATAATGACTGTGGTTTAAATTCCTCACAGCACAGCAGTGCTCCTCAATGGAGCATTCTGTGAGCTAGCTTGATGCTAAAGCTAACCTTAGCATAGCATCCTGACTAGACAAACAATCTGCTTTCTGCGACATATACAAAGAGGAGGGTGATGCTGAGGATGTGGTAAAACCAGAAATGAAAAACTTTAGCAAAAAAGACCCTCATCTCTTTTTTTTACAGTCAATTAAAAAACAGAGTGGTCCTTTTAGAAGGTGGTAAATTTAGAGGCTAGCATGTTAAATTTAGCATGTGATTAGTGCCTAAAAGACAGGGCAGGGTGTAACACTGGCAGGAGTGACTTGCTTACTATATAGTGGCACAGAAAGTCCTAAATGACTGCATGAGTGTGCCTCAGTGTTATAAAAGAATATGGCGAGGAATGGGCTGTCGCTAAGCATTTAACAGCCCTCAAACAAACACCCTTAAAAATAGTTATTTGGGTTAAAATGCAGTAATTTAAATAATACAAACTCGTTACTGAAATGGTAATAGTTATCATGCATTTCTGCATTGTTGCTCCTTTAAAAAAATAAATAAAAATCCTTCCTTCTCAAAAAGTATGGTAACAGTGTTATCAGAAAATAACAACATGGTTTCCACAGTGCTCAGCATATAATTGAAGTCAGAATTAATAACCGCCCTTTACATTTTTTTTCTCTTTTAAATATTTCCCAAATTATGTTTAACAGCTAGAGCAAGGATTTTTTATTTTTTTTAACAGTATTTCTAATATTTTTTTTTCTTCTGGAGAAAGGCTAGAATAAAAGCTTTTTTTAAACAGTATTTTAAAGTCAAAATTATTAGCCCCTTTAAGCTACATTTGTTGCAAGTCTACAGAACAAACCATCATTATACAATAACTAGCCTAATTACCCAAACCTGCCTAGTTAACCTAATTAACCTAGTTAAGCCTTTAAATGCAACTTTAAGCTGTATAAAAGTGAAAAAGTTGAAAAATATCTAATAAAATATTGAAAAAAATCATTCCGTTAAACAGAAATTGGAGAAAAAATAAACGGGGCTAATAATTCAGGGGGATAATAATTCTGACATCAACTGTATAAAAGTAAACCCCTTACAAATCTCTCTTTTAAATTCATATTTTATATGGAAAGCTATACAATATTATATTTGTGCATATACATTAGATTATTAAGTACTGAAGCCAAATCTGGACCTTATCAAACAAAATATCTTACGATAACTGTCCAAAAACAAGTACAACCAAATTTATGTTATAAAAAAGGGGGAAAAAAATCAAGAAGCAAAAAAAAAATTAAATTTTTGTTAATATTTTGTAGGTTTTAATATGTTTTGCAATATTTTTCTTGAATTTAATTGTATTTTCGTTCAATTTCTAAATATGTTTGGTGACTAAAATATTATTTTAATAAATATATCTCTTTAATAAATCTTTTTTTTGTTTAAATGTACCAAAACACATGGCCTATATTCACTGAGAAATGGATAAAATATTCATTTACAAAATGAGCTGTATTCAAATATGCTGAGCACTGTATAAATACTCCACAGTACTTAAAGGTATACCATACCGTTACTATGGTACATAACCTAGAAACATACCACTGCGATGGCATGTTTGCAAATAGCTTTGCCTTGTTACATTTACTTAAAAATATTTTGTGTGTGTTTTATGTTAACATAAAATACTGGATAAGACACTGGACTACTCATATATATATATATATATATATATATATATATATATATATATATATATATATATATATATATATATATATATATATATATATAATTTTATATATATAATTTTTAACCAAAAATGCATAAACCACTCTAGGCTGATTTGCTGGTTTCTTCCCTGTACTGGCTGGTTTTACAGCTAAACTTAATTCTGTCTATCTTGTCTGCCATCCTGATAAGTTAAAAAGCGCCTTGCATATCCACTAAATAAAAAACAGCGAACAAGCTTTGGCTCTTTTTTCTTCAGCAAGGATAGCTCAGGAAAAAAAAAAAGACGTGAAACTGCTAGCTGCAGCCAAGTGCTCATATTCTGTCTGTAAATTAAATGAATGCTATATTATTCTCAAAGGTTTAAAGTCATAAAAGCTGATGACATCATCGCTAGACAGTTGACATAATATTAGTCTTACAGAGCATACAGTGTGCAGGGTGAAAGAAATTCTAAGACGTTGTCTTGAGTATTCATTCAGGCCATTCAAGTGGAAATGAAGTGAAAGAAAATGCTAAAATTAACAAAATGACTTCCTTAAAGCAACAACCGAGGTGAGCTCTGACGGAGTTTGACTGTGGATGGTTTCAAAATGAGTGCTACTCTACCACCAAAAAAATAACACCATAATTAAGCTTGATTTAAATAATAAAGATTTAGGGTGGAAGATTTCTCATTCAAAATAACAACATATAGATGCACACCTTTGGTCGCTCGTCATCAAACACTAAAATACTGCATACTGTACCAATTTGAAATGGTCTAGCATCTGCCTGAATGCCAAGTCTACCACCGCAATGATAAACATCTGATATTAATCATACAAGCATACTCTTGTTGGCCTTCATTTTTGTGCAAGACCAGGAACATCAAAAGTTTAGAACTATATCTTTACAGTCTTCAGGGAATCTCAATCACTAGTGCACACGATTATGACGAGGGAAGCATAGCTCCATGCTTCATAATGGATGAAAGTGCAACATTATCAAGTGGTGGAACAAACCACGAGTTTATAAAAGAACTGGACATCAATCCAATGAACATTGAATATATACATATTGATGGCATCTGTCTGTGTTTCAACACTATCTAAAGTTTAAAGAAATCTTAGAGGTATCTATACCGTTTTTCTAGAGGACTTTCACTGTCCACTTCAGGTTGTTGCATATAAAAAAGCAAAAACAAATCGCCTCAAGTACATAACATTTGCACAGGCAAGAGATACTTGACACTAACATAACCTTCAGTTGTCTCATGCTGATAATATGAGGGATAAACTGACATCTCATGAAAAAGATCCGTAAGAACACACAGACAAACAATTGAATCTGTTTATATGTATGCACTTGAGTCTATAAGTAATTGTGCAGTGTACAAACAACAATTAAAGTGCCGTATGTCATTTAAACTAACCAAAAAAATTGAGAATGTTTAAAATGAGGACTATACTGGGATACAAAATTAAATTAAATAATCTGTCCTCTATCTTATGACAAATTATGCACTGTGTCTGTGTCAGTCCAACACAATCTCATAACTTTTTGATTTAGTGGCTAAATCGTATCGATTTGTACAATCTAATTCGTACAATTTAGTACAATTTGTTCATCACACAATGATAGTTAGGTATCCGGGTGGGGTTGGGTGCCACACCTCCTTTTTAAAATCGTACATTTTCATACGACTGAAGTCGTACAAATTTGTACGAATTAGTCACTAAACTGACACAACGTAAAATACGTTATCTCATGAGATCAGGCTGGTCAGTCAGTGGGTAAATGAAAAAAAATTGCATACATACGCTCCCTCTACCATGTGCAATTAATCCATGCATTCACTTCGGCCTACCTTGATTTTAAAAATAAAACATGCTTAGTGCGGAGAGGTGCGGGTATAACTGTAATCCTGTGCATGTACACAAGACTTAATAAGTGCTGCCTCAGAAAACGTGACCTTTGTAGGAGGCTGCTGTAAAGAATCTCAAAGGTACTGCTCATTAATTAGTCATGAATTAGCAAATGGTCATATAGTTAACATGCCTTGATAGCAAATATTCAAGATATCAAGAGTTTCAAGATAACCTGAATATATTTTAATTTACTAAAATATAACTACATTTGATCAATTTGCCCAGTAGAAATGCTAATTATTGTCAAACCACACTGCTCTCAATGTTTAGAACTCTAGGCAATAGAATGCAGGAGGCATGCAGACAGGTTAGTGAAGATCCACTTGATATAAGGTCATAAGGAAAATGAGCAGAGAGAATAAGAACATCTCATTCCCAGCATGCTCAACACTTTAGAAGATACGATTGTTTGATAGAATGTACTGCACTGAAACACATGTATGGATTCCATATATAGTATTAACACACACACACACACACACACGCAAAACTGCCGGAAGTTCAAAACATCCTCTATTGCCATGTGTCTGAAGCACATAATAATATGAGAAGGTAAGCTCACACCCCAGGTTTACTCAGGCACAGAGCCAGACCTCATTTGACCTTGAATGGTGGCTCTCTCTCTAACCAGCGCACACGAACTTTTTGTTTGTAGTGATACTCCTTGAGGAAGTCCTGCATGGTTGGAGGCAGTGGCAGGGCACCAATGCCATCATAGGTGGTGTGTCTACAGATGGAGGATCGTGCCAGGTGCTGAAGGCTGAAAGGGAAGGTCCGGTGTAAGGGAGCAGTGAGCAGGGGTTCAAAGAACATACAAGCACTGGGGTCTTTATAATGCTCCAGTAAACCTGTTACTGTGGAGGAGTGGAAGACACATGGGTCATGTGCATCAAAGCTGAAGTTGTGATTCCATTGTTCAATGCGTGCATGCAGTGACCGATTGTAACGTCGAAAACTAACAGAGAACAAGTAGTCCTCCTGTGCGGAGTCGCGTAGAAGGAAGGTGCCTTCTGGCCGTCCATCCAGCAGGGCTTCAGCTTGGTACCGGTCCATCACTCCCCAATAACAAGGAAGTGCAGTTATGGCCTGTAGGTCAGGTACTAAACAATGGATGTAGTCAATCTGTGTGTGGACCTTCCAAGGCCCTGGCTGTCTGGAGCAGTGAGTGTCTCCAGAGGCATGCCTCTGCTTGGGCCTTCGTGTCTGTAAGCAAAGGGTAGTTGAGTCCTCCTCAGAGTCACAGTCAACCGTGTGGGATGGCACTGCCATACTTGTTGGAACCTGTGCGGCGATCCCTGATAATCCCCCAGAAATGGAGGAGACTGTTCCTAGGCTCCTGCCCTCCCCAAGTGTTTCCCCAACACCAGGAGCCATCTTTGGTCCTAGTTTATAGAGGGAAGAGCTCTTTGAAGTTGCCTCCAATGTATGGATCTGCGCATTTGGAGGTGGGTCTACTCCTTCCTCGATGCTAAGTCTACGTCGTTCACGCAGCCTCTCCTCCTCGTCCTCAGGGGAAGAATGGGCTGAATCAAAAGCATCAAAAAGAGCAGAAGAGGAATGGGGGCTGACTGGTGCTGTATGTTGCTTAATTAGGTGCCACTTGTTGGCCAGATCAGAACCTGGAGGAAAAGGGCATGTTTCGAGCATCAGTTCTGTCAGGTGGATCTTACGTTTTGAGGATACTTGACCTTTGGCTGACTGAGAGCGCCGGTGTGTGGGGAGAGGAAGGCACAAGCCCACGGTGTCTCGAAGTCGTTGTCGCAGAGAACGGCTGCTAAGGCTGCGCCCGCTGCTGCCAACTTCTACAGAATCATTAATTTCTTGAATGGAGCTGACGGCATAACGACGCTCCCTTCTGGCTGTACTTCCTCTTGAGCGTCCTGTTCGCCTGTCAGCCTCAAGAGAACTTTGTGTTTTAGTTGAGCAAGAATGCTTCTTTTTACCTCCCCAGGGAGCATGACGTGAATAGGAGTCCCTGCGAACAAGTGGGCCTCTCCGTGCATCTTCACTCTCTTTGTCAATGGAGATTTCTACTATTTGAGGAATATCCGCCACACAATTATGGCTTCTGCGTCCACCAGTAGCCAATGGAAGAGGTGACAAGTTGCGTGAAGGTGTGGAAGACCTGGTTTCATAGGGTTCTGCATGTGCTCCCCTGTCCAAATCCAGCACACAGTGCGCACAATCTAAATCTTGACTACACAGATGGGACTCTGAGCCGTCACTGTGGAAGAGAGCTTGGCATCGGCTTCTGAGATTACCCCACATCTTGCCCACGTTCTCCACAGATTGGAGACCACAACCTATCAGGGAAACAAACAATTAACAATTAATATCTTGTCATTATTTTGAAATCATAACATGCAAAGCAGTGATCATGTGCAAACAGAAAAAGAAAATGGGCAAAATTTATTTTTGACATTTTCTTGGTGGACACTTAATGAGAGGGTCGTGAAATGAAAGCTGGTAACACAGGCTCATTCTGACAATGTAGCCCTATATACATTTCTGGAGATCACGAATTATGTATATAAAAGTACCTATGGGTGCATTTCATCTTTAAAGGTAAAAGAAACCCTCGAGTACTTTTGAGATTTTAACAGATTTATGTGTTGAGCATCACTTAAGACAATGTTAGCACCTGTTAGCTTTAATTGTGGGGAAAATTGGATAATTTTGAGCTTTTGTAAGCTAATTTCATCTTCCGGATTTAAAATGATTTTTGGGGTGGGATCAAAATCGGCTGCAACTGGGGTGGTGACGCGTTGGTTTCTCATTATTATTCATAGCGGAGTTTTCTTATCCTATGAGAAGAGCCTGCTTCTTAATTATTCATGAATGCACATGCTTCCCGAAGGCAAGACAGACCTGCCAGTGCCAATCTGTGAGACCCTATGTTGATGAATGGGTGAGACTGCATCTATGTACCCACGGTACACAGGATTTAGCCATTCATGAAGGGTCGTTTTCATGACTCACGGGGTGTGATGCATGTTTTTACCCCACGATCCTGTTGGGGTCAATACAGCAAAGCTGTGTGTGTGCAGCAAGCATTTTTGTCAGGAGAACAGTATGAGAATTGGAGAATGGCGGACGTTGTCTTTTATCAGGAGTTTCTTCACATTTAGACACATCGCCGTGCTGCTGTGTTCGCCTAAATCCTCTAGCTTACCAGCAGGGCTAATGGTTGAAATAGACAGGGCAAGAGACCTGCTGCACTGCTCCACTGAGTCTGCATTCAGACTCGGGGATTGAGGGAGAACATGATTATCTTACAATTATATACATTGTGGTTGTGTGTATATGAAATTACGAATAACAAATGTTGCAGGGCATTAAATCACTGTTTAATTCTTTGCATTTAAACTTTGTAAGCTATAAAAATCAGTGGTCTCCTCACGGTTTGGGTCTCATTTTGTGACACATTCACTGTGTCTAACTGACAACAGTTGTTCGCTCCCCTCCTTCTCCCCTGTTTTGCTGGCCACGCTTACTCCTTTCTCTGCTCGCAGAGCTCCACCCACATTATGATGCATTTTTTTTTTAATTCTGAGGTAGACTTGAGCCATGAAACGTCCCACTTTCGGTTCTTTAAAACAAATGCTACAGGGCGGTGTGACTGTTCCTTTTCACGCTTACTAACTGACCACTTAATCTGTATGGACAGCTTTCTCACTGTTGCCAGTTTGTCCAGTTAGCTCACTATGTACGCCGGCAGACTTAAGACGCTCAAGTCGACCACGATGACAGAGTTCGAGTCCGGTGAAGAACGATTCAAGAAAGCAGGTATGCAGGCCAAAAATAAAATAAACAAGTAAATAACAGGGTGAGAATGTGATAAAATCTGAAAATTTAGTAAAAATCAGACGAGGGCTTTTCCTTTTCTGGATTGCTATTTAAAACTGTCGGTTGGGTTTAGAGGAGGGTGGGTCATTCAGTCGACATCGTTCTCAGGTGGATTTACGCGAGAACAGCAGGTGCAAATGGAACTAGCGAGAGAAATTTGACATCTCAAAAAGCGTGCAGAGTAGCTTCTTGTGGATTCGCGAAAACAAAACTGCAAAAAATTTATCTCCTGGGACATATTTCCTGATCTCCAGATATGTATATAGCGTTTTCAGAATGAGCCTGGGTTGAATGCAGGGTATGTTGGCATATTATTTATTAACTTCAACTTTATTTATAGAGCATATATAAGTTCAACTTCTGTTGGTCAAAGTGCTGTGGGAGAAAAGGGAAAAGAGGAGAAGGAACGAAAAAAGAAATGATAGCAATACAAATAAATAAAAGCAAAAATCCTCAAATATTATTTGCAATTAAAAGCACCAGTTTATTTCAAACTGTAAACTGTGGTACTGCAGTTTTACAAGATGGAATGTAAACATGCTAGGTATATATAAACAGCACTAAAACATTTAGCGTTTGAGCATGGTGAATTTGTTCAAAATGTTATACAAAAATTGCATGCATATGTTGGGTGGGTGCAGGAGTGGTAGAGTTAGCACAGAGTTGCCAGGCAGACGTGCATCAACACAAGGCCATGGCTATAAATGAACTGAGGATCTGCTCCCAGCTGATCTGCTGGTATGTACTGTATTACTGAGCCAGTCTGGACCTGACCAAGAACTTTCACTGTCATGGCAGCACAAGCACACGCACACACACACACACACACACACACACACACACACACACACACACACACACACGCACACACACACAAATATGTACACATACACTTACAAAACAGGGAGAGGTAAAGACAGAGTATGGATGGGAGCACAGACATCTAGACAGACACATAACAGTCTGTCTGTGAAGTGGTTTCTGTTCCATTTTTTTCAGGAACAAAAAAAAAATGCTGATCTTGCCATAAACACTGGTTGTAATGCACAAATTACGCTAAATTAAGGCCAACAGCAGATCAAGCTTAGGTCTCCCCATTATAAGGGTAGACCAAACATATCATCTTCACAAAGCAAAATACATGGTTGACTAGTCTAATGCCAAAATAATACATAGGCATTAAAATGAAGTTCTCCAACTTAATACAGACCATGATCAGACTGTGTCATGAGCTTACATTAAACTTCAGAGTTTGAACTTTAGGTCTCATGGCTTTTACTCTTCTTTGTACGCAGTATCACTGTCAGTAGTACTTTAAGGCTATGCTGGAAATGATTTTTTTTTTAAATGACATGTAACTTAATTTCACACAAAGAAAGACTTGTAACTCAAAGTAGACATTGACTTCACTTGGATTTGAGCCTCTGACTGAAGAATTTTTACCTTCGAATACTAAAAATCAGATCTGTGATCATTACATACTGTACTAATCTGATAACTTCCAAATCAACAGTACTGTTTCACACTATGGCTGCTGTTTAGCCAAAGAGAGACTTGCGCATCAAGAGCTTTCAATGTTCACAAACATTGTGCAGGCCTTTTTTAAAACACAAAATAGATTTTTTATATATTCAAGGAACTAATTTTAGTATTTTCCAAAATCCAGTTAACAAACATATGAATAATAAATGAAAAATAAAATGTCAATCATAATATCAAGTGAAAAAGTTTAATGTAATAAGTTCTAAAATGGCAGTCTTAAAGTAAAAACAGTATTAAAAATAGCTGCAAGCAGCAATTAAGGGGCCAAGCACTTCATAGGCAGAATGAGCAAAGCAGTCCAGAGGCCAAAAACAACAAGTTTAGTAAGGAGCATCAGACAAAGTGAAACAATGGGTTTTTGATTACATTAGAAGTAATGGCTGACAGACAAAATGACTGACCAGGGAAAATCAGACATAATTGGATTCGGCATGATCCGCCGCATGTAAAGAGACCAAATTTATGATTTTTGGACAAACAGTTAAGAAATTATAAGTAAAATAGATGCCATTTTTTTTGTATATCCCAACCACTAGGGGGCAGTAACCCGAAACGCTGCAGATAACCTCAGACCATAGTTGTTATACCACACACACTAAATTTGGTGTAAAAACATCAATGCGTAACGGAGATATCACCTCAGGGTTGTTTTTGCAAGCTCTATGTTAGACTTGTTCACAAGTTAAATGCAAACAGTTGGTCTAATCAAATTGAATTCCATAACTTTTGGTCAGAATGATCTGTAGATCATGTGATTAAATTTAGGTGAAAATCAGAAAAACGGTCTAGGAGGAGCTAAAAAAAAGGGTTTCAATCAAAAACCAAATGGCAAACAGGAGGTTTAGTTCATTTTGGCATATTTGGTATCATTGGTCAAGACACATATAAAAAGACACATCATGTCAATGAGGAATGTTTAAAGGTTCAGGATACCCTGGAGAACTTTTTTTATATTAACAGATGTGTGTGTGTTGAGCATCACTTAAGACAATGTTAGCACCTGTCAGCTTTAATTGTGGGGAAACCTGGATAATTTTGAGCTTTTGTCAGCTAATTCCAGCTTCCGGGTTTACAATGATTTTTGGGGCGGGATCAAAATCGGCGACGTAGCGCAGTACTGCAAGTGCAATGATGACGCGTCGGTTTCTCATTATTATTCATAGCGGAGCTTTCTTATCCTATGAGAAGAGCCGGCTGCTTAATTATTCATGACTGCACGTGCTTTCCGAAGGCAAAACAGACCTGCCAGTTTCAAGCAAGCTGTGAGACACGGAGTCACGGACCCATGGCACGCAGTAGCCGTTCATGAAGGCTCGTATGTGTTTGTTTCTATGATCCACGGGGTTTGTTGCATGTTTTTTCCCCGCGATCTTGCTGGATATGGGGATCGAGGGAGAATCCTCATTTATAGTGTTTACATGAACACACTTATCTTTATAATGATATAAATTATGGTTACGTGTATATGAAATTACGAATAACAAATGTAGCATGGCATTCAATTACTGTTTATTTCTTTGCATTTTAACTTTGTGAACTATAAACTCATGCGTCTCCTCACGGTTTGCATCTCATTTTGTGAGCTAACTGACAACAACAGTTGGCTTACATTCTCCCCTGCTGGCCACGCCCATTCCTGCCCTATGCTCGCGGAGCTCCACGCCCATTAATCATGCATCTTTTAAAAAAATTCTGAAGTAGACTTTAACCTAAAGTTGGGGTGTCATGGCCCTTTAAAAAAGTTATTAGCATTTTTCAAAAATTGCTTAGAACTTTTGGCCACAATGGGCGCTGCTCTATATGTTTTTGAGTACCTTCAGGTAGAGCAGCACAATTAATCGTTAAAAGATCGCGATCTCCATTCGACCCCCTAGACCAGG